TACTAATCTTACCAAACTCAACGTTGATCTACGGGACGTAGATCTTTAGAGGGGGAAGAGTTAACGAGGGATCAAATAGCGGGCATGTTAAAACAAGTTCAAACATGTTTCATCAGACATATTTCATCGTGAGAATTCTTCTACGCTGAATATTAATATTAAAACATGTTCAAATACGTTTCCAGCAAACATCATATTTCAGCATGAGAATTTCTTAACGCAAAAATATGTTCCCACAAAAAGTGCTGACGACATGTCTACGCTGTACTGTGAGAAATTTTTAGTTAGGAAAATAACATAAAATTAAATTTGCTAAATAAGCAAATTTTATACTATAAATTAGGTAACATTTAGATTAAGAATTTAGTCTTAGATAGTCTTAGACATTAATTGAACTAAGCATTAAAGTCTTAGATAGTCTTAGACATTAATTGAACTAAGCATTAAAGTCTTAGAATAGTCTTAAAATTTAATTGTAAAGTTATATTAAATTTTAACCTAGTGTTGTGAAATAAAACGTATTGTAAAAGTAATAAAACGTATTATAAAAGTAATTTTAAAATCGAAATAAAATTATTTTTTTTTAAACGAATTTTGACACAAAATTCGTAACTTGGATGAACAATATTTACATATTTACATTAGTATATCAATATGTCTAAGTGTATTAATAGTGTACAAACTTATTTATTCTAGTGTAGGTATTTAGTTTTACTTTAAAAACAAAATGTAAACATTTTTATTATAAGTTATTTATGTGAACATACATAAGCACATGTACATTATGCATAGACTTATAAACATTAGAATGATTTTAAAATAAATTGTAGCTATTTACGTCTATGTCATAAACGTCAAAATAATTAAAAATTTCAAAGCCTCAAACGAATGCCAATTACCATTTTCTCTCTACATGTTTCATACCAAGGCTGTTTTTGTTTTTGCATTTAAAGAAAAATTAAAATATTCTCAAATTTAAAAAAAAAATAAAATTTTTTTCTAAAATACGAAATTTTATTAAAATTTAATTACGAGAAACAGTAAATATTTTTTGACTTTTTTTGATTAATTCGCGCCAATTTTGTTGTATTTTTGCTTTTTTTTTTTTTGCACGCCCTTAAAAATATTTCCGTGTTTTTATGCTTCTATTATTTTCTTAATTTATTTCAATGTAATAAATTACAACGCCATAAATATAATTATGTATTTTTAGAGAAATAAAAATATTAAAATTTTGTTTACAATAATTCCATAAACCATAGGATATTTTAATGCGTTTATTTATGTAAGTAACTAAATAAATTTTTTGACATGTATAAATAAAAATTGAATTTTATTTGAACTATACGAATTGTTTTTAAAATGCGCAAAGAACGAATATAATTTTTGAGATTTATGATAGTATATAAGTTAAAGCAACTGTAATGGTTTCGAACAGTTTTACATTAAAGTTGTATACGTATACAAAATTTTAAATACCTTCACAATTTCATATTATTACAGAAATATTCTAAAACGTATTGTATGTACATATACATATATACATACATGACAAATATATAAGTAAATATGTGCATTGCAGCGAACTACATTCTAACACATAAGACATATTGATGTAACATTTTTGCAACGCGGGCACACATGCAACTACAGCTTGATTGTTAAATCGTTTTGCGCACATCTAAGCAACTAAACTCTTACAGGTGATCACACAGCTTTATCGTCCGCTTAAATATATGAGCCTATGCATATTGGAATACGTTAATCGAACAGTTTCAAAGTTAAAAATTTTATGTCTGCCAGAACCCTAAGAAATCGTTTAAAGAAAATTACAGGTATAACCTAAAAAAGATTTACTCAAAAAAACTTTTATATTATTTAATGCAAAAATACACGCACATTTTATTGTAATACTAAAAAACTGTTCTATTTATATAACTGTTATATTTTGTATAACACTTTATTAGAATGTGATGCAGCCACTTAATTATAAATTAAGAACACAATAAAAAATCTTATGTATTAAAAATATTTTAAGAAATAATCATACAAAATTGTAGAAAAATATTTTGTGGGAATAGACATGGAAACAACGTCACAATCACACACATGCTTAAGTGTTGTATATAAATATGTGAACTAGTATATGTTTATTCAATAATATACGAGTACAATAATATTTCTAAATATAAATTTCTCTCATTAATTCATTTTTATTATTATATTTTAATATAAATATTTTTCTAGTATCGGGTTAACAAAACTTAAAAAAAAAATATATATTATTTTTCTATTTTTTTTTATTCCTTGTTTTTTTGGCATTAAACCATAAAGATGAGATGAGTAGCGTTTTCTATATGTACACTTATAATCAAAATGTTGTATCTAATCAATTGAAACAAAAATTAATTAGTTACAAAGTGATTCTGGCTACCACATCTTTTAATATACACCTATAGATACATATTTGTATGAAAGTGTTATACATAAACGTGTGTGTTTTTAAAAATGAATACTTGTATAGGTATTATTAAAATGTTAGAACGATTCGAATGTTTGAATGTTTAAATCACAGGAATATTGGAATATTCAACCTAACTTTATATTAAATTTCAAATCTTATAATAGACACATTCAAATAGAAAATAACACATTCAAAATTGTTTTTCAAGGGTGCAATAGATGCCGGTTAGTTGATATAAACAAGAAATTTCATATATCCCGAAAGAAAATTATCCGGAGTTTACTATTATTAATGACATTGTCATATTGTTGTATTAAACAAGGTTATTTTACGTAGACTGTAAGAGATGTTAATGAAATAGAAATCTAATAGGGAATTTAAACACAATTTTGAGAGATTGTAGATTCAAATCACTCAAATCATCAAATATCGTATTAAATATCTGTAATAATAAACAAATTATAAAAATTTCCAACTAAATGCTTTTCAAACTTTTGCACTAGATTCTCTGCAATATTTTCTGCAGTTTTAAAGCAAAAATCCTATAATTGACAAAAAATATATTTTATTATTTTCAAAATCATAAAATATTTTATTATTCACAATAAAAAATATTTTCATTAATAATTTTCTTTTAATTCGCTCGAAAATATCCGCAAAATTGTAGGAATTTGAGTTTTGGTTTTGGTAACACTAATAAATGTATGCACTACTATTATAATATGCGCTCTTGTATATGCATTGTTGTACATTATTATTTAGAAAACATCTGATCTACATCTAATCTTTACGTTTTGCAAGTAAGATTTTGGGCTTACGACTAAGAATTTAAGTTATTTACTTATTTATTTTTTTAAAAAATTCTTTAGAGTAATTGAAATTATTGACTCATTTATGATGTGCACTTAAAATATTAACGCATGCACGTTCTTACGATAAACAGCAAAAATATATTTTCATCATAGACTGAAATTCAAAAAAACAATTGAAAATAATCACTCTTACATTTGGATTCTGCTAAAAATAAAAATATTTTTAATATTATAAAATTCATTTTTATTGAACGCATTGAATTCGATAATGGTGTCTGAAAATTTGTTTTTAAATTTTTGATATTTTAAATATGATTTAAATATGATGCCATAAACAAAACCAGCTGGATCTTATCAATCAGATTTTGTTATAGTTTCAAGTTATGGAATCATCAATTATACAAACTTAAACATTTGACTTCTAACATAAAATAAAGTAAAACTAATATGATGAAGCGATCATTTGCTTTTGAAAGATTTTATGTTACGAAGAAATTATGGAAAATTATTTTTAAAAAATTCCAATCAGTATTTAAAAAGGCAGAAAGGCGGTCTTCAAAATACCAATATTTTGGATTATACTCGCAAATAAGTAAGAATTTTTTTTTCTTTTGCATATTCAAATGACAATTTAATCGTTTTTCTGTTTTAAAACAAAAAGGTTTTGATGTTATAACAAAAAGGAAATTATGCAACTTCAAAATTAAAGAAATAAGTTTTTTAAAAACAATTCAGTCATGAGTTCTTTCATTTGTGTTCTAAAATTATTCTATTTGTAATGAAGGAGAACAAGAGAAATTACAAAAAATGCTGAATAGAGCGATTTGAAAAATTTTGAGAACTAATAAGAGAACCAGTAAGAGTGGTTTCCATCAGAACTAAAATGATTAAGGATCAGACAAAGGTTAAATTTCAATGCTTAATTATTTATCTTGCAGTAAATAAAGAATGGCTTGTTACTCAATTCTCTAATTTTTTAATATTTAAAATTTCTTTAATATTTCAGAATATTTTCTTATTAAAGGATAAATAAGGGTTATCTTCTGCGTGATAAATAAACGATTTAACGGATTCAGCCATTTAATTTAAATTCAGACATTCAACTTCTATATATTATTTTCTGGAGGAATCGCTTATCGGAATTATTTGCTACCGACGATCTTATTTTCTTCGCTAAAAAAACGATATCGTTTCAATTCCAAAACGAAACGAATTCGTATCGCAGAAGACAAACAATTTTTGCTGGGTTAGAGATTAATAAAATTTGTACTCAGGAATACCGTTACAAGCTAAATATATTTTGATACTGCCCCCCAAAAATATGCTAATTTTCTTATAATAAAAATAATTTTTGTTTTCTTTGTCTTATATAACAAAAAGATGATAGTATTATTATAATTTTTTTAATATAAATCAATTTAAAAAAAAACAAAAATTATTTGGAACAAAAACTTTAAATAAACAACGGGAGAAAATATCAAAAACCATATAACGGGAAACAAAAAATGGAGAAAAAAAACCTTCCAATTAATTATGAAACAAACAAGTGCGAAAATGTAAATTAGTATTAAATATGCAAAACAACTATGTCAGATAATCGTAAGAATGAAAGAGATGCAAGAAGGATAAAGTTATTAAATAAATTAAAAAAAAAAATAATAGCGCAAAAAAATTATAATGCTTGTTGTATACAGTCAATTGGTATGACAGATTAAATGGCTTACCACTTTTACCAACACCTGGTGCACCAACAACGGCAATTTTAACTTCCGATAATGAAGATTTCTTCCGTCGTATGCCTCTTGTTGTCATATTTTTTATCTTGCTTTTGTTTGTTGAGTTTTTTTCTTTGCTATCTCCTTCTAATAACTTCTCTTTTTTGTTTTCTTTTACTACAATTTTTTTTTGTTTTCGTTTTTGAATTTTTTTCCTTTTTTTATGTATTTCTTTATTGCCTATTTGTTGTCTGGCTTTTACGGATTTTAACAAATTTCTATTTTTTTTTTATATTTTATTTCCTTCACCTTACCGTTATTTTTTAGTTTATTCTTTTTTACTTTTGTTTAAATGTATTTTAATATTTTTTTCCTCCATATAAACATGAAGAAAAAAATTCACACAATTTTTATTTTTTTTCACTCTTATTCTTACACGTTGTTTTTATTTAAGAAAATTTTCTTAACATTATGTTTAACTTCCAAAAGTAATTTATACATCAAATTCATACTAACATAATATTTTAACATAAAATGGCATTATGGTGTACACAACACAGGTGATAAAAAAAAATCACAACTTTACAATTATTTAAAAAAAAAAAAACAAGAGGGTTAGACTTGCCAATCGCGTCTCATTTACTCTAAAATTCACTTTTGAAATTTTTAATGATATCTGAGCAATTTTATTAAAGGTAATGCAAATCCTACGATGTTTGATTTTAGCACCAAATAATACATTGAACTCAATTGGAGAATTTTCTCCAATTTTCAAAATTAATTTAAATTAATTTTAACTAAATTGGCAAGCCTAATTTTAAAAAATATGCAATTTTAAAGCAAAATAGTAAAGTAGAGAAATTGAATGTGTTTGTATACAATTTTCTAGTTTCTTCCCTTAATCCTCAGTCAATATTCGCACTTGTAATTTTTTATTTTGCCTCTTATGTTTGAAAATTTGTTACGCTTCTCTATATAGTGTGTATTTTTTTTGTTGTTGGAGTTATTAAGATGGTAGAAGGCACTTTCCTGATTAAATTCAATTTTTCACCTGAACATTTTTCCTTTTCTTTTTTATTATTATTATTATTTTTTTTTTATTTGAGTTATTTTTTCATCTTTACAATCATGTAAAGAATTGGATATAAGAGGAAAATTTTTGTAATGTTATTAAAATTTCTCCCAATATACTTAGTCCTCAAATTTAATATTTTAACATTTTGCGTGTATGTGTATGTAGGTGTGAAATACCAATGATATTTTTGTTGTTTTTCAAAAATGTTTTATGGAGAAATAATAACAAAAAGAAAAAGAAAAGCAAAACAAAAGGTCATAAATTTTTTTTTTTGTTTCAAATAGACCACATCAACCGAAACTTTATTGGCGCACTTTTAAAAGAAAAGTTTTCCGGCAACTGATCTCAAGAATATTAAAAAAATTTTTTTTTGTTTAAAATAAATTTATTTCTCTCTTTTCTTTCTTGATTTTGTTTCTCTTTCCAACACAAAGTGATGTGCTTTTAAGTACATATGTAGAGAGTGAGTAGATCTTTTTTTGTTACTGTTGATTTTTCTTAAACGAAATGAGCTGAAAAATTTCTGAAACGAAAGTGTATTGAGAGACAAAGAGAACTTTTTTGAGAAAAAAAAATTTTGCTTTATATTCAAATTATTTCGGGAGCGTTTTTAATATCCAAATTTTTTTGATGGAATTTGATTTCTTCATACTTTTGACAAAATCGTGCAAGACTTCTAAAGAATTTATCCAACATTCTGATATCTGTACGAATGTTTCCCAAGAATCAACAGATCAACTTAGAAAACGAAATGATTGCCCTCTTACATTCTTGTTAAAAAATTTGAGTAGTACAGCTGTAGATTCTAGATTTGTAGATCGCAGATTGGGGGATTTCTTATATGATTTCTCGGCATCCTTATGATGCATCCTGATAATCGCTTTAAAGCTCTCCCGGTTGTATTTACCCAAAAGCTCCAGTCTTTTGTTCACGTTATTGCTTCCCCCTTTTTATGGCATCTCAGGAAATGGCGTCCCAGCATATGTGCTTCCTCGTTTCCTTTCACGTCAAGGCGCCCTGGCACCCATTGCAACGTTACTTGGCGGTTCTGACTCAACCGGTCGAGCTTGCTGAGACAATCCTGCACCATCCGGGACGAAATATAGCAAGAATCTAGAGCCCTTATGGAAGCCTGACTGTCGGGCATTATTGTTATATCTACCCTGCAGTTAGCGCTATCCATCGTGTATTTCTGCCTGAAAGATATTTGGGTACATCTCCATAGGTTCAAGGTATTTGATACGAAGTATTTGTTCGTGCATTATAAAATCAATTAAATTTTAAAATTTATTTCCAAGTTGTAAATTGCAATTTTACACGGTCCAAAAACCTTAACTCTTTTATTTAAACTTGTACTCAGTCTTGAATCGAACTTCTTTAAATACCCCAAATTTCATGTTTCAATTGGGTCCGTCCTTGTGGTCTAATTATGAGAAATTTTAAAATATTTCAAAAAATCATGATTCTTTTCTCTTCCTCTCTCTCTCTCTTTAAATTTCAAAATTCTGATCTCAAAATAAAGATACAAAAGTAATTTTCGTACAAATTAAGAAGAAAAGTCAAAATTTTTTTTATGTTTTCATTATTTTTTTTTTCTTTTGCGTTTTTGAATGTGTGCTCGTGCAACTTATATTTTCATTTTAAAAATAGATTTTCATTGACTTAAGAATGAAAATTTTTTAAATTTTAATAAAATACAAAAAAAAATTAAGGTGTTTTTGTTTGATTTTTGTTCAAGCACCGGCATGGACCAATTTACTATTTCAATTATTCAATTTTTCAATGTAACATTTTAAAATTTTTTTATTATTACGAAAACAGCGAAAAAAAATTGTATGTTTATATTTTTAATTTGTATATACGCATTATACGTATACTTATGTATACTTATAGAATATTTACGCACCCACACACCTATGTAGAATATTGAGATACTAATTAACACATAAATTTTCTTTTTATTAAATTCTTTTTTTCATGCCCGCATAATTTTTCAAAAACAAATTCTATCGGTGCTTTTCCATCGGTGAATGCGTTTTTTTTATATTAAGCATAAAGATTACAAATTGAAAATACTCGTAAGTTAATTTTTAGCCTCTAAAGTGTTTTTCATAATTTTTAATACAAACTCAATACATTTTCGTTGTCCTGTACTTACAATTTTGAAATTTCCGAAAACATAAAATATTTTATTATATTCTACAGCAACATACAAGTTTAGACGGCTTTCTGCGTTTAAATTATAAATTAAAAACAGTACATTCAAGGTGCAACCGCATACCGGGAACAGAACTTACTCATATTTTCTAAAAATCTTTTTTGAAAATTAGAATATTTCTTTGAAACACCATCATCTCTCTCCAGATTCACAACATTTGTGCCATAAAGCTCGACTATTTACTCTATAATTTTTTAATTGAAAATGACCTCCTCCATAGTGGTTTATGTAGTTTTGACTTCTGTTCACTTATATTGACTGTGTCTGACGCCAGTAATATCTTCCATTTCATTTTGAACATTCACACGTGTTATAAATAATGACAGCGGTGTGACCCACTTCGATGCATCATTCTTGTTAAACTTTACACTTTACGTTCTTGTTAAACTTCAAATACTTAACTTCTAACCAAGAACACCTTCGAGCGACATAAGAATTTAAAAAATAAACAATAAAGTAATAGCTATTCACTCTTGAATCACTTTTGAGTAAGAATAAAAAAAAATTAGAAATTTTTCAATCTGACAACTTAGTATGACACAAATTGTTCAAAATATTTCCAGTCTTTTGTTTATTTAGAAAAAAAAATTTAAATTACAAAAATTTATTATAAAATTTAATTTCTTTTAAATTTTTTGTTATTCTTGCACATCTAGGTACTTATATATGGCATAAAATGACATCTGAATCACTATTGTCAACTCCAAAAGATCTTCAACAATGTGTTCTGGTTCTAAAAGATATTGCATCAAATTTATCGAAATGTATTGAAAATTTAAATTCTAAACGCTTAAATAACGTTTCGGCAGATATAAAAAATCTGAACAGGTCGTCCTTATACCATACAATGATGAGTCCAAAAGATTTAGAAGAACTTATAAGGAAAACAAAATTAAATAATTATTTACATAACACCAAAGCAATGTCTACGAAAGACGACAGAACAAATCCAAACCTAATTTACAGCAAAGGAAAAAGTTTCGAAAAGGAAAAATTTAGTAATCAACTCACATCAACTCGAAAACCTACAGAATTCAGTGAAGAAATGAAAAATTTTAAAGGCCAAGGAGAGTATAAACTCTCTAATAACTCTAATTATGACAGCAATTCTAAACCGATTCCACTACAAAGTCATAACATAAGGCGTCATTATCAAGATCAACACAAATTAAGACCAATAAAAAGTTCAACAATGATTGAAAAGAAAACTCTTTATACAAGTCCTGATGGTCATATTTCACAAACTCTGACACAACACAAGACTGTTCCAACAGAAGATGATTGCAAATTTGTAAGAATTAATGATAACGAGCATCATGAAATACCAATTGGCAATTATAATTACAATAAAAATTTAGAATCACCTGCACAAAATGACTATCCACGGCAGCAACGAAAATTCGATAGTGATCCCTCAAATTCATTTGCCTTTAACAAAATAAACAGGAACAATGTCTCATCGCCATACAACACATTGAATTATTCACTTCCATCATCAATTCATGAAGATTCTTTCCCTTTTCACAACTCAAAAAGCATTAATTATATGCGTCCTATGAATAAAACTTACACAAAAGGAACTTTTAATAAATCAGAAACACTTGATGCCTACAAAGAACTAAAAAATCTTATCTTGAAAATAGATGATATGTTGGAAGAAACTAGAAGTCATATTGGTACAGAAACTATTATGAAAATTAAATTTTAATTGAATACTGAATTTTCCACAATTTTTTTAAGGGACAGAAAGTCATTCAATTTCAAAACCGATATGTCCACATGCTGATCTATTACTTGGTTTTACTCAAACATCTGATCCTGAAAGATCCATGTACAGCACCACAAAAAGAAATTATTGTTCAAGTCAACTTGAAAAACATGCAAATAATTTGACTTTGGTGAATAACACTTGGTAAGTTCAAAAAATAGTTTTTAAATTTATATTAGGTTCTCTAAAAATTGAATTCATATTTTATATTCTAACATTTATTTTTCAAAATCACAGCCCTAAAGAAACAATGTCTTACCTTCTGTGCGAATTAAATAAATATGTGGCAAACCAGAAAGATCAAATCATTAAATTTGAAAAAATGATTCAAGATTTAAAGGAAAATACAGGTAGACTTAGGACAAATTTATATTAAGTTATTTTAATATCGAAAATTAGAGCAAATTTTATTTTAGATCAAAAAATTGTTTCAAATGAATCACCAAAATTAGATAATACTTGGGATCAATCAACAGGTGAACAAATCAATTTTGAAAATCAAAAATGGATAACGCAATTAAATAATGCTGTCAGTGTTATATCCAATGGATTCGGAAATATTATTAAAACCATAATCAATATCAAGAACAATAATGAAGAAAGTGATAAATTGAATAAAACAGTAAATGATCAGTTGAAAAATTTAAAATTTAAAGTAATTGAGATATTAAGAGAACCAATTCCTGTCCGACTTCTAACTGAAAACACCAAAATTAATGAATCTGAATTGAAAAAAGATAAAGAAATTGAAAAAAAGAAATCTGAAACTTTACATGTTTCAATAAGTAAGACTGAAGCAAATGAACCAGATGAATCTCAAAAGACAAACTAGAGCTCATAAAAGATATAGTTGTTTAATATGCGTTTCACCAAAAGAAACCATTTTTTGAAAAGTTTCGTCATATATTAATGCAAGTACTTGATATCGTTCGAAATATATATCAAAATTAAAATTAATGAAATGAGTACAATTTTTTGACTATCGCCCATTTCCTTTCATCAACTCGTTCTTTATATAAATAATTTTTCACTCATAGATACATATTCTACACAGATACATAATTTCTTGTACAACAATAATATTTCTGAATTTGTACTCATAGAAAAACTAAAATAAAAAACCAAATAATTTTTAATTTCAAAATTTTGAATTTTTAACCTGAACAATTACAAAAGCATGCGGATAATCATGAAACTACATTATAAAGAATTTTTCTAAATTTATAACATTTGGCAATATTCTTAAAAAGTTTATCCAAATTTAAAATAATTTCAGGTTCTTGTTCCTAATAATTTATATTGCAAAAAAGTTCTTTTATCCAAACTGATATTATTTATGTAATCCTGGACACGAACCTAATACAAAAAAATTCACTGTTAAAATATTTTGTAAAGTTATGTGTGGTATAATTTTGATATACAAATATATTGAAGTATCACAGATTTTCAAAAACAATTTTTATTTTATACAAATAATAAATTTACTATAAATCATTATATGGTCTAAACGTCAAAAAAAATTTTGTTATTTACAATTTGATAAATTAATAAGACAGAGTTACCTACATGTACCTACAATACCTTATTATTTCATGTTGACAAACGATACAAATTCTTGAAACTTTCAAAATTTTATCAACAAAAATAAAAAACCAAAACTGTTGGAATAGATAATTTTGTTTGAAGGTATTTTTTTTAATTCAAGGTAAAATTGGATATTTGCTCACTTTAATTTACTAAAGTTAAATTCGTGGCGTTGATTTCGCTTGATTCTAGATAGTCCCATTTTACGTAATATGTGTATTCTATATGGATTCTGACATTTCGTCGTTTAAAATCGTTCTTGTTCTTTTTTCAATTTAAACAATATCAAAAAAAAGTCAACCAAATCTGTTATATATATATAACACTTTGTTATATATATAACACTATATGTATCTATATATAACACTCAACTGCTTATATCTATTTAAATTTTTACTTTCCTTATACGCACAAGTAATCACAATCTTATAAATTTCTTATATTTGGTAGTGTAAACTTATTTTACGTATTATATGTATACATATAGGTAGCATAAATCCAAACGTATAGATTTGAAAAGCTCAAAAATTTGAATTATCCCGTGAACTATTGCATATATTATACAAAACAAGTTTTTATGGCTGTTTTTCAATATTATGATTATTTCATATTGCACACAATTCATTATTTAATAGCTGTCAAAAATTTTAACCACATTCCTTAACAACATTTTAAATGTGACACAATTTACATCAATAAATTTCACCTTGGTTAAATGAAAAAATAAAAATAAAACAAGAAAAATTAAATAAAAAAAATTATATCGTAAAATAAATTTAGGGAAGGAAGTGATTTTTTATTTTTACCGTAGGGCTTTAAACCATGCGATAATATTATGTGATGTTATAACAGACCTTTAATTATTATGTTATGTTGTAAAAATTATGAGAATTTTCTATTACTTTTATTACGTCTGAATTATGAGAAATTATAAATCCACCACATTTAAATATTGTCTTCAATTGAATTATGCCACACTATGTGTTTAGAGGTACTTATAAGACTTGAAATGACTGAACCGAATTGAAATGTCATCTATAATTTAATTTAATTATTATTTAAGCGTTTTAAATGTTCAAGTTTACATGATTCTTCCTGGATTACTTAAAAGAATACAGTTACATCAATAATATTATGTGATTATTGTTATATACAATTTTATTTATTGATTATAAATTTTTTTTAGTTTTAAATAATTAGTAAATATTATACATAAAATAATGTTACATGAGAATAGCTTAATTATTTTTTGAATTGAATTGCGAAACGAAGAATTAAAATTAATGATTCCAATGTAAGGAACAACTTTAAAAAATTTAATTATCATTTTTTAATTGAATTAAATTTTCTGTTTTCAACCAAAATAATTCCAACCATTCGTATATCGCTGTATTGTGTATTAAAACCGTATTACTGCATTTCGGAAGTCAAGGATAGTAAAGAGCACAATGATTTAATGAAATGTCTATGCGGTCTGAAAGTTTTTAAATCTCAAGTTTTTCTTGTCGTATTGTTTTAGACGCATCATTTGATTCTATATGGGATTTATTATTTGAGAGTATTTTCTATTTTAATATATCTGACTATTGTATCACTGAGGCTTACTCTGAGTATCGAATCCCTCAGCGGTAGTGATATTTATCGTAAAAATTTTATAAACTTATTATAGATACAAATCATTTGTATGAATTGGGTAGTGTTTTTAATAATAATAACAAGCTTTTTACGATATTTATCACTCTGTTATTCCATATTCAGAACAAGCCGTATTATATATTATTGGACCATAGGTTGTTTAAATTCGTTTTATTAAGCTTCAAGCTGAAATCTATTTTAAATATAAAAATTTAATAAAAAAAAATAAAAAACAAAATAATTTATATTTCATATTTTTATTTTTAATATTATTTTAAATATTATATTGTGTATATCTCATAAAATTTTGGTTTTTTTTTAATTATTTCATTATTTTAATTAAATTTTAATATTATAATTTAATATGTATATATACTGCACATATATTTTAACATTTATATTTAAAATACATTAATAAAATACATTCTTGTTTTTTAAAAATTTATTTTAATATTTTATTTATTTATTGTTTTATAATGGGGTATTCATGAAATTTTTGTTATACAGAACAATTATTAAATTTTGATTTGATTTTTTTTGGGGGGAATGTATATATATAGACGAATATACACATGAATATATATATATATAATTAATAAATTTATTAAGAATATTATATTAATTAAGGGACGATAATTTATAGAGAATAATATATTTTTAAAAATAAAAAATAATAAAACGCTTTTATATAATTTATAATAATCTGTGTATATTACATTTATTTTTTAATATTTAATATATATACAAATTTTGAAAACGAGATAATTAATTTTTTTAATTAATTTATAATTACATTTTATATATATTGTGGTGTTTTTTATTTATTGTATATATTATTTAATATTTTTAATGTTTTTTTTTTTATTTTTCAATTTTATATTAAATTTCAAATTTTTCATTTCTTATTGTGTTCAAATTTTGTTCGCTATCATTTTAAATATGTTTTAGATTTTATTTGTATATATATATTTTTGTATATAGAAAAATTTGAATTAATAAAAATATAAAAATAAAAAAAATGGAAATAAAAATTTACAAAGATTTTTTTTTTAAATTGAATTGATTTGATTTTCAATATTGTCCTTAAATATAATAGCAAAAATATAAAATAATTAAAAATTAAAATAATTACTTAATATATAACTATATTCAATTTTATTATATTTAGTATATACAAGAGTATTGTATATTTATATGATATATAAAAATAGATAAATTTTTTTTAAAAAATTAATAACATTTTTTTTTAATTAAATTTTCTTTTTTTTTATTGATTTTATTTTGATTTTTTTCGTTTCAATGCAAAATATGTGTGTGTTTGTGAATTTGAATCGCCGTTTTTTCATCGTGAATTTTTCTAAATTTTTGTTTTTGTAATTTAATTAATTTTTTTTTAAAATACTTTTTTTGTTTTTAAAAATGTGATTTTTATTTAATATATTTTTTTAAAAAGTTAAGGAACAGCACGCGCAGTCATTAAAAACAATCGGAAAAAAACACAAAAAAAATTTTTTTTTGCAAATTAAATTAAAAACGAAATTTTGAGTATAATTGAGAAAATTAATTTTTTTTTAAATAAATTAAAGCAAAATAAAAATAAAATAATAATAAAGGAAAACTAAAAAAATAAAATAAATAAATTATAATACGATAATTGTGAATAAAATTAAAAATGAAAAACAAAAAAAAAATATTATAAAAAAATTTTTCCGTAAAAAAAAAATTTTCAAATTAATTTTTTGCATTTTTTTTTTTAATTTTAAATTTCATTTAATTTGAAATTTTTTTTCTCATTATAATTATTATTAAAATGACAAATGATAATTTTTATTTAAAAAAAAATATAATAATAATTATGAAATATTAATGTGAATTTATAATTACTAATATATATATAGATATACATATATATATTATTATATATATATTAAAAATAATAAATATATTTCGCAATATTTATTTATTTTGTAATATAAAAATAATATATACATATGTATAAATTATATATTTAGTAAAATAATTATGAGAGATGCCTTAATACTCTAAATTTTTTTTGTATATTTTTGGTCAAATTAAAAACAAAAAAAAATTAAAAATAAAAATTATAATAAAAGTTATAATAAAAATTATACCATAATTTACATACATATATATAAATACAAAAATAATATGAAACAAAAATGAAAAAAAAAATAATTAATTTTTTGAAATTAAGAATGAATAAATTACAAATTATTTGTATAATTAATGGAGCTTAATATTCTAAGTATGGAATCCAAAAGTGATAACGATAATTATCATAAAAAATTCGATATTATTATTGTAAACACAAACCAATTCATATACAAATGATTTAAGTCTATAATAAAGATTTTTGAAATTCTTACGATAAAGATCACTACCGCTTAATAATTCGATACTCATAATAAGCTCCAATATAAATTTAAAATAATTTATATACAAATAATTGAATAGAAATTAATAAAAAGAAAATTACTTGAAAATAAAAAATTAACAAATTGAAATATAGAAAAACTATAGAGAAAATAAATAAAAAATTGTGAATTGAGTAAAAAAAAAACACTTAAAATAAATTTAAAAAATATGTGCGTGTGTTGCTAAATATATGTATATATATATATATTTGTATTTAAAACGTGTCTCACAAATTTTTAAATTTTCTTTTTTTGTATTTTTTTTTTATTTTTAAATTTTTTTTTTGTCTTATTTTATTTTTAATTTTTCATATATATTTAAGCAATATATTTTGTATATATATGTATTTTATTGTATAATTATTTAATATAAATTTTTTTAATACATTTTGAATTGGTCCATTAATTTATAAACATAATACTTCTTTCTTTTAATATACATAATTAATATTTTTTTTGTGTTTTATTTTAATATTTTCTTCATTATCACCATATTATAAAACTTTTAAATGTCTTCTATATTATAATTTTATATATAATATATGGATAATGTTTTTCTTTTTGATAATATTCTTGATTCTTTTTTTTTTTTTTAAACTAAATATTACATAAATTAAATAAAATATAAAATTTTTTTGTTTTTTATTTAATTATGGAATGGACCACGTAATTTTGAAATTGCATTCGTTAAATGTAATATTTCTGTATTCAATTGTGTTACAAGTGTTTCAAATTTATCAACTGAATCTAAAATTTCAACACGTTCAGTATGTGGATTAAAACGTACTTCAAATGGACGTGACATTGTTGATACCCAACGTCTGAATTTATCTTTGGCATCTTCAAAACTTTCAGCTACATAATAAATTGGTTGATATTCTTGATCTTGATATGGTTGTACAGCTGTTGATGCTGGTTCAAATGGACGATGTTCTGGTTTTTCACTAATTGCATGTAATAATTCACCATATGATGATAATAAACCAGCACCATATGCTTTAATTTGTCCTTTTTCTTTGCATAAACCAAATTCAACAGTAAACCAATATACCTGTAATGTAAAAATAAAATGAAATGAATCATTAATAAAATCATTACTAATATTATTTATAAAAAATATAATATAATAATTATTTTATAAAACAAATATGAATTTTTTCTTCATTAACGAAAGATGCTTGATAATAAATCATAATAATAACATTTTTTCAATTATTGCTATTAATATTTGATTATTATTTATTTGTAGAGCATTTAAACATATTATTAAGATTTTATAAAGTATAAAAAGTTAACACTAAATAATTATGTTTTTATTATTATGTACCCTATATAACCATATTATGTATAGTTCAATTCAGATCAATACTATTTGAAATGTGAATAATTTTTAATAAAAACAAAATAATAATTACCTTGAATTGGAAACAATTGAATAAAATATAAAGTATAATATAAATTAAACTTGCAATTTAAACCACGAAAACGCAATAATAATAAAGAAAACAATTAAATTTTTTCAAGTAATATGAGTATTAAATATCACTTATGTACAAAATAATAAATTGTGGCCATTAACATGTGTGATTGACCACAAATAATACGAAAATATTTTTATAGCAATAATATAAAGAACAAAAATATGTATAACAATAATAATTATTATTATACTTATATATCATTATTAACAAGTTAAAAATTGATATTATTACAAATTGAAAATAATAATTATTATAATTCATGTAATTAATTTTAATGTGCAGATACCATAATAATAAAAAGCAGCAAAAACATATTTAAAATTTCTAACCTTGATAATGAGATCTCTACCACAGTTTAATTTACCAGAACAATATTTTTAATATTATTAGAGAATATTTTTTTGCAAAATATTATAATGAACATACTTGTGAACTTATTAAGAATCACAGTCGAATTGAGAAATAATGAACATATTTTGAAATTTAAATTTATAAGAAAATTTAAGTATGAAAACAAAATTCTATTATAAAAGTTTTCTTGCGATTCAGCAATAAGACCTTTTCAGCTGAATTAATATATACTGATTGTCTGGCTCACTGTTGTTAAGTTTGCAATTATAATATATTAATACACAATTCAGCTTATAAATTATAATTGCTGAATTGTTTATCAACAGTATATTACTATAATTTTGAAATCAAATTATTTAAAAAAATATTATTAAATATTATTAAATATAATTCTTCTATATTCAATACATTCTTCGTATTCTAGTAAAATCAAGACATAAAATTTGATGTTACGGTTGATTTTAAATTGTTACATTAACTTTATAACTACATACATACATGCATATTTATACCTACATTGATTTCAAAATAAATATATGTTTTTTTCATCTTTCATTTTAGTAACTAGTAATTTATTGTTTTTTTTATAATAAATTGAGAAACAAAAAATCATTTTATAAACCAGTTTTTTAAAATCTAAAATCAGAATTTTAAATATAGCTATACAGATTTATGTATGTAAGTAGAAAAAAAAATTTTCCGAAAGAATTTCAACTAGCTACATTTTATTGTTGATGCCATTATTTTTGATATGATGATAGCTCTTTTAATACCGTATACATAATGCAGAAATGTACATTAAATGTGTAATGTGAAACCGTATAACAAAACAAAAAGCAGAAACAGAAACAATAATAATAAGAAAAACTAAAGACATTCCTAAGTTCTTTTTAGGCTTTTGATCTTGATATCAGAGCAAAAAAAATCTAAAAGTAAGTTAAGTTCGAGTTTACGTTCTGCTTTTATTTTTGATTCAGCAGTAATATTTTTGCGCATATTTGGATTAGCGTTCTTGACGCACAAATGAACGAACATAAAAAGTACATATATTTATTAACTGCTCCAATAAACACAAAAAAAAAATAAAATAAAAAATTGTAATCTTAAATCGATTGATAGTATAGAGTCTCATATATAGAGTGCACCACCGCACGTACATACATATACAAAAGAACAGCACAAAAAAAAATGATGAAGCTCGATTGACTCTGTTTTTTATTGAAAGTAAAAACAAGCAACAAATGTGGTTAATTTTAAAATTGTTATAGTTTCTACATTAATATTTTAATAAGAAAAAAAAAATATGTAAAGGTTCTATAGTGACCTTGAAATTGGTAATAATTATTGCAGTTGATGAAAACGTTAAAAAAAAGAAGCAGAAAACAAGAAAACTTCTTGGCACATTGATAGTGACATTCAACAATTTTTTTTTTTGTAATTTGAAAATCAATGCAATTTTATAGCCACAATATGTGTATATAAGTATGTATGTAGTTATATAATTATGCATAATAGTTTGTAGAGTAGCCATACATGAAAATGGTAGCTGTTTTTTGCTTTTGAAAAAAAAACAGTGAAAAGAATTTTTACAATGAACTACTTACAATTGTTGTTTCTTTGAATGGTAAATAAAAATTCAAAAACAAATTATTGTTGTTTCGTCTAGTCGTGCTGGTATGCGCACAATTTTAACTTAATTTGGCTAAATGCCAAAAATACGAATATGTACATAAATTTAGTGGTAACTTACTTTTGTTATCGTATAAACGTAAGTAATTGTTTTGACATTTACATAAAATGAAACAACGAACAATAATAATTTTTGTATAACAATTTGTTTTGTCATTTTTACAATGCTATTAAAATTTTTTTAATGAAAATTATTAAAATTTTGAAGGCTCTTACAATAAAAATATTCTTTTAGTGTGGTGTAATTAAGTGAAAAAAAATTTTCTTGTTAAAAATTTGAATATTTATTGAGACTGATAATGTCAATTAAGATGACATATTTGAAATGTCAACTTGACGTATTAAATTCAATATATAAAATTTTAAATTAATAACTTAGTGTTTCCACTTAATCAAATGCCTACAGTTTTAAAAATTTGTTGCAAAACTGAATAATTTAAATATTATAAATAAATGTTTAATTTAAGAAATGAATTCAAATTCAAGTTTTTAAAACCAGGACATTTTAAATATTGCAAAATGTTATAATGTTATACTTGCATAAAGCAATGCAAAAGCATAGGTACATGTTATTATATCATACCAAAATGTGTTATAAATAATTTCCAATTATAAGAAAAATGGAAGCTATTCAAATTAATTAAAACTAATTTTAATATAGCGATGCGATTTACTATATAACTATTATACATATAATAGTATATAAATTAGTATAATATTTTGTATAATAAACTATTCATTTTATTATATTAAAACATTTTTTATAATTTGACCCTGGACATTTTTTTTTGTGTTCGATTTTCTTTTTTAAATAAATCGTATTTTAGAATATTATACTTTATTTCAAGGTAAACATTAATCTGTTTTTTATCATACATACACAATTTTATACACATGTACGTATACCATAAGAATTTGAAAAGCTAAAATAAATTATTAAGTAAGCATATAGAATATGTATTACAGAAATAAAACCAAATATAATCTCAGATTAAAATTTAAATGGATCTATAAAATGAACGAAAAGAATTTTAAGGATTGTTTCAAAATACAACAAAAAAAAATTATATTACTTAAATCCGCGAAATAGAATTCATTATAATTATGTAATATGGGTAAAATTTATAAATAAATGTATGAGCAACATAAAAGCATAGAATTTTAGAATTTTAGAATGTAGAAAAAACAAAATATAAATTCTAACAGGTTCTCTATTTAAAATTCATTATCAAATTCATAATCTGATAATTTTCAATTTTCAAATCAAGTTTCTCTCTCCCTCTCTCAAATTATACATATTACTCAAAAACATACCAACATACTAATATTAATAATATTAGTGTGCTGTAATTTGAAAATACAAGCGATAATTAAATGTAAGATTAAATTTTAACATAACATTTACATTAGATTTTTTTGTTTGAATATATACATAATACATTACTATTATGTTTTCCTATTTAATATATTCGTCTCATTTTCTCATATTGAATTAAAATTGAAAATAATATTTGAAAATGATTTTTGATATTTTTCTCAATTCTTTGCTTGAATTTTGATTTTAATTTTTTAATTTTTAAATATTTTGTGCACTCAAAAACCTATTCAAATTAAAATAATAAATGCAATTAAATTAAAAATTGAATAACCTCTTTTTAGAATTTTTTAATTATTTTTTTGTTTAAATGTGAAATGAAAAGTGGTTAAGATTTAAGTGGAAACAAAATGTTATACAAAAATTTTTAATTCATTCTTTAACTTTGACCATATCATTGAGTGCCATTAAAAATAATCATTAAATTAAGATATGTGCATTAAACATAGTACACATGTATGTATATGTAATGTACATATGTAAATTTTATAAATTACTTAAGATAATAATCTTAAATGACCATCATGTTTTTCAAGAACCGCAGTAATTAAAAAATAAAATCACATATTTAAGCCGCATTATGTCAATTTGAATTAAAAAAGTAGAAAAAAGAACGTGTGTGTGACATGACATATGTTAAGTAAAAAATTTTTAGGTTATAATATGAAGTTATTCATCTTTTAAAACAAATTATAATAATTAATTAAAAATATTTAAATATTTGTAATTATGTGTGCTATATGTAGATTACATAACCATGTTTATTGGTAAAAAGCAAAAAATTTGTTTAAAAATTTGAATTGATTGAATCAGAAAATGGTCTGGTTTTGAATGCTTTTATATAATAAATAATTAATTAAGAGACTTAAGCTCAAGGCAACTCATGCGCGTATTTTATATCGAAATTTCAATCAAATTTTAAACATTTCAATTTTTAGAATTATTGTGAAGTTCCTACACCTATCAAGTCGGAAGACAGACAATTTAATAGTCAAGCATCTGCGTTAATTTTTCAATTTAAATTTAGTTTAGGCAATAATAAAAAAAAAATACTTACAGTTGATAATTTTTCAATTTCTTCATCTGATGCACCCAATGATGCTAAACCGATTTCTTGTGAGAATTGTGCAAAACTGGGATCAGCCAATAATGGCATATGTCCAAGAAGTTCATGAATGCAATCACTATATAAGAAAGAGAAGAAAAAATTATTTTTTAATAAGTTACCATAAATTTATTAATAAAGTTCAATTTAAAAGTTCAAAGAAAATTTATTATTATTAATAAATTTTTTATTCAAATTTTTCAAAGTAAAAATGAAAAATAATTGAATTTTCCTAAATTAATTATTAAAACATTATCATTTTCATTATCACCGACCCAATCACATCGTCATCATCACGTCGTTATTGTTGTTAAAAGTTATTATTATAATTGACATATGCGAAGGAAGAAGATAAAAAACTCTTTTATAAATCAATTATTCTATATTCTAAATATTTTTAAATTAGAATTGTATATATGTATATATATATATATATAGACAAAGTGTATATGTATTTATATCCTTATTAAATTGCTATTAAATTTTGAAAGTAAAAAAATTAACAAGTTTTTATCGTAAAATTTTTTATGTAAAGGAAGAAAAATATTCTTTAATTACGTTGGATGTAAAAGGAAGTTAAAATAGTTTTTCTTTTCTTTGAATTTTTTTTTTTTCAGGAAAATTAAGTAATTTTCTTTTGTATAGAAAATATTTTCTTTCTTGAACTTGTCAAATGTTTTTCTTTTTACTTTGAACTTTTTTCTTAAAAAATATTGCTTTTATATAAAATTAACTTACGGTTCTGGTGTATGATATGGTGAATTTACATGACGAACATATTGTGTACTTTGGAATACTCTAAATGCCAATGATGCTAAGAAATCTCTAGCTGTTAATAAACCAGCAGCTGGTCTTAATGAGAAACCGGTATTTTTACGTAAAAATGAGCTCATCTCTTCTAATTGTGGTATACGATCTTCAACAAAAATATTTTCATCTTGTAATTTTTTAAATACAGCTCTATATTCAGCGCATGCATGTTTTGGCATTAAATCAAGTACAGTTTTAAATACTGAACGCCATGTTTTATTTTCAACATCAGTATATTGAATATATGGAATTGGATCACCATATTTGTATGCAAATGCAATTTCAGCAATTTCTTTACGACGTTGTCTATATACTTTATCAGCAAAACCTGGATGATTCATATCTAATTCTGGTTCATATTTTGTCATCAAATGATTACAATTATCCAATTCGGATGCATGTTTTGGGAACCATGGTGTTTTAACATTAATATTATTATCAGCCATTAATGTAATACCACCAAATGCAGCAGATTGACGTAATGAACGAATCAATTGTAATAAATTACCTCTGGTCATATTTAATTTAATTAATACATCATGTTGAATACCATCTTGTTTTGATGGTCTTGATTCTAAATGTATAATAATACCATGGAATGTTTCAATTGCTTTTAGGATACGTCCTAATGATACCATACTATCTTTAAGTCGTACAACTAATGCTGCATGTTGTACAGTATTTTCAGCTTCTGGTGATTCAGAAACAACATTTTGTAGTATAACTTCTTCTTCAGTTAAACCATAGTCTATAAATAAAACAAAATCAAATTTATATAGTCAACGTTTGCTCAACAAAATTAAATAATAATACGAAACTAAGATTCCAAATGCCATACTTAAATTTCAAAAAGGTATTAATAACGAAATTGGTAAGGAAGATGAAAATATTCAAACATTTTCACCGCTTTTACTGAACAAAAAAATAACAAAATGATTCGAATCCATTTTATAATAAAATTTTTTATTTTTGCATATATCCTTTTTTTTCATTTTTAATATTTGAAATTTTTAACTTTTTTATATTGTAAAAAATTGGGGTAACAAATTTCACTCTTCAATAAATGCTTTTAGAGAGAAAACACTTAAGAAATTTATGATTCAATAAAAAATTAAATAAAAAAATTTTTTCCATTTTCCTTTTCTTTTTTATACATGAAAGCATAATAATTTTAAGGATATTTTTATGACATTTAAAATTTCCATAAAAACAATTGAATAAAAAAGTCAACTTACCATTATTAGAATCATTGTTTGATTCTTCGTTATTTTCATTGCCATTTACAGGTTCAACTGAATTGATTTTTAACATAAATGTGAAATAAAATAAAATTAAAGAAAAAAAACCAAAATAAATAAAATTTAAAAACAAAAGAATTTGAAAATAAAGTAAAATAAAATTTTAAATTAAAATCAAATTAAAAAATAATTTTTTTTTAAATACCTTCGATTGTTACACCTTGATCGTCATCTTCATTTGGAATATTGGCATCTTCTAATTGATGAGGTTGTTCCTCATTTTGAAAATCAATATTTTCCGATTGTGGTACATGATGATCTTGAGCTTGAGCTTGGATCATACAATCTTCCAAGCTAACTTCTATACATTGTTACAACATATATATATATATATACAACAAACACATTTACAATATTGAAATAATCATGCATGAATTTCATTAATAGCAACATCAAATTTATAGCAGCAACCAAAAAATTCATTTATCAAATTAAATGGGGAACCGAAAATAAAATAAATAAAAAAAAGAGAAGTTTTAGTGTAAATAAAGGACCAAAGAATTATAAAATTATTATAAAATAAAAGAGATTAACGAATATCAAGTTTTGCATATTCCAACAACAATTCGAAAAAAACTTAAAATTCTTTGTATAATGTAGGTGCCCTTTCATTTTATTAATAACAAAAAAAAAATTTATATTTCAACTTTCTTTTCAGATCCTTTACTTACCATTAGCACGTTGACGAGCCTCTTCTAATACTGTTTGTTTAGTTTGTTTTGTTACAATTGTCTCGAAGCGAGCATCATCTACTAATGAACGACGGCGTGATGGATAACCATTCTATAATCATGAAGCAAAAAAAAGAAATAAAATCATTATTAATATCATAATTTTAATTCTAAAAATAAAATATGGAATTAAATTTAATATTCGTATTTAAAAATTGAAAATTGTAATTTTATAATAATGACAGTAATAATCTTAGAGTAACTTAAGACATAGAGAGAGAGAGAGAAAAAAAAAGAACGTATATTATGGTATTTAATTCCGCTTGACTTAATCACATAATCGTTTCGAAATCGTCTTATTCAACTTTTTTTCTCTCTCTTTTTTTTTTGTTTTATTGGAATAATTTCCTTTTAGAATAGAAAAAATAATGTTTTTTGTTTAAAAATGTTATGCGTATACATGATATATTCATATATAACTGTATGGATGTGTTACTTAACATAGTAAGAGCAAAAACATACACACAATTGAGTGCTTGGAGAAGATTTTTTTCTCTTTGCAATTTTTTTTTGTGTTGAAATTTTCCTTATTTAATTTTTTCATGGAATTGTAAAAAGGATTTATTATGTACCTTTTTCTGATTTTTAAATTATTATACATAACTAAGTATGAGACCAATTTCACTGCATTATTAAAAGATTATTTCAAGTCCTTTTCGGTTCCATTTTCATTCATTTTTTCTTTCACATTAGTTTTTTCTTTCTATCAAAAATTGTTAAATTTAGTTCATTTTTACTAAATGAAAGATTTTGAAAAATTTGAGATTTCCTTTTCGAAATTCAGCGAAATTTCGAGATTAGAATTGTAAAATAATAAAATCTAATTTATTCTTTAGCTGTAAGTATGAATGGATTCTATTGATTTCAGTTTTTAAAACATTGCATATTTATAGGATCAAGTTCAAAATAATAATAAAAAATTTTCGAAAATTAAAATTTGGATTTTCGAACTATTAAAGGATTTTCGAATTTAAATTCGAATACCGTAGTTGTATAATTTGGAAACAAATGGACATTTGTATGAGTAGTTCATCCCTACTCTATTACATACATAATGTATATAATATGTAGAAAATATATTTATTTAATATGAAAATATAATGTAAAATTGATGTAAAAATAAAAAGAGAGAAAAAAACTAAGATTATTTTTAATATTTTTTCTGATTCCTAATTTTTTATTTTTTCATTTGTTGCTTGCTATATAACATACTTTTAAGATCCTTTCGAATACATTTTACTTGATTCTTTTTGTTATAAATTATAAGTATAACATAAATGTATGTATACTTTAATATATAAGAAAAATTCTGAAGTCACGGTTGAAAAATTCTTCATTCTTTACTTCTATATTAGTTTCTATTATAAATTTTCTGTTTTCATTCTTTATTTTTCTATATATAGATTAGCCAAAAGGCACGTACATAAAACCAAAGAAACAAAAAATATTATGACAGAAAAATGGTTATTAGAGTTGGTGACAATGACGTATTTTTATTGCCACCTTAAATATATTAAGATTTTATTTCAATTTATTATTATTGTTGTAACATATACGCTTATTTCATGTGGGGGAACAGAATAAATACGAAAAAAATCGGAAATTAAGGAAATTAGCATTGTTCGAAAAACTTTTCTCTTTTATATTTTTATAAATTTTTTTTAGTTTATATAAAGTAAAATTTTTTGATTGAAGTCTCGTAAAGAGAAAATAAATTGTTGATTAGAGTCTCTTTCATATCTATACGGAATTTGTCAACATTTTCGATGATGTTGATGAAATAATTTAATTTTTTTTTATAACAATATTGTTGCGCGCCTTTTTATACATCAATTATATTATGTTTTTGAAAATTAAATAAAAGATGAAGCAAGTGAAAAAAATTTGAAAATAACAAAATATTTTTGTAATGAAATCTCATTAATAAACCAAATTTTTTGTTTTTTTTAGTTCATATTTTATTGTGATGGGAACTCTCGTAATAGTGGTGTTAAATAATCGATTGAATATTTTTGGTGTCAACTTAACAAAAATGACTTAATCTTTTGTTATTTAAATTGTAAAATTTTATTGATCATTTTCACCAATTTATTTTTAATAACGCTACATACTTTTTCTTTTGTCACCTTGTTTTTTTCCCCATTTTGATTTATCAATCAAAAGAAATTTGATTTAAAACTCTTTTGATATCGTAAATCTTTATTTCTTCGGTGGCACTGTGTGTGTGTGTGTATTGTCTTTAATATTATTTTTGTTGAAATTTTGTTTTATTTTAAAATTTTTTCTTATTGTTTTGTTTTTGATGGGAAAAAGGCACGTATACAAAATATCGCGCGGCTAGTATTTATTTTGTAAAAATCGAAAAAATGCAGAGAGAATGTAGAAATTTCATTTCAATTTTTCATTAGCTATTTTTTTGGCAAAATTAAAAGAAAAAGGTGTACAAATGCGCTTATTGCAAAAGCAACAGGTTGTTTTTTTTTTGTTGGTCTTTTATATCGTGTTTTAGGTAATAAAATCACATTTTGTATTTATAAAGAACGTAATTTTTATTTTTGGAGTTTTGTTTTGATTATTAATTGTCAATATATAAGAAACCAAGCAGCCCTAAAATTATCATTGTTGCTGCTGCTCTGTTTAAAATGAATTGAATGAAATAAATGAAAATGAAAGTGTAATGTAAATTTTTTTTTTGGTTTTATTAAAAAAAAAAAAAACGAAAATTAATAAAATATTTAATAAAAAAAAATAATAAGAAAAAGTATTGAATATTTTGGAATTAAATGCACTAACCGGTATATACAAAAAAGTATAAGAGCATAAGGTTAGGTAAAGTTTGAAATTAAATTATTAAGTGATATGAATATGGCGGGTCACCGTTATATTATAACACGGGTTTTGCTTCTTTTCAAATTTCCATTTTTCTGATAATTTTTTTGAGGTTTCATAATAATATCAGCATTTTTGTCTTTTATTTACAACTGCAATTTTATAATTTTCTATATTTAACCCAAAATAAGGGCTTAAAAAAAATTGCTATAAAAAAATTATTCAGCTTTCACTCTCTATGAATTTTAAACAATTAATTTTACAAAAATCTAATAAAATTTCAAAATTTCTTTGGAATTCTTTTTAGTTCTAATATTTAATAAATTATATTTATTATACAATAGTTTCAGAAACAATAGAATTAATATTAGAACTGTTCAAAAACTGTAATAATTTAAAATTGAAAATATAACGTTATTTTTTTAAATTTCAAAAATACCGTAATTATTTTAATAGAGTATTACAGTTGTAAATTTCCACAAATTAAAAAATAATTTCAATTTTTGAATCAGATAAATTAATATTTTTAATTATTCTAAAATTTATTTAATAAAAAAAAAGAACACTTACCTCAATGCTGTATGATTTTTTGATAGCGAATAATTCACGATTTTTTTGTGCTGCAGCTACGGCCATTTTTGATTTAATTTGATTTTCTTTTAATAATATAGTTTTTAAAACAATTTAAAATTTTGATTATAGAAATCCTTTTGATTTTCCTTTATTTTATTTTGCAAAGCTTCTGACTACCAGAGTCTGACCAAATTTTTATTTTAAATAACAAACTAAAATGTTATACTTTATAATTCACGATTTAAATAAATCCTTTTTTCTTTTGTAATTCCTTTTACTTAGCTGCGTCTAATTTTGCTTCGACAATTTGTTTTTCCTTTTTAATACACAGGTTTGTTTTTTTGGGGCAATTAAATTTTCTTAATTTTTCTCAAAAAAAAATCACTTGTCTTATATTTTTTAATTAAATAAAGCACAGGATATTAAATTTTTAATTTTTAGTTTAATAAATAATTTAAATAAATACTTTTATTAAATTAAATCCTTTTCTTTAAATATATATATTATATTTTTTTCTGTTAATTTGTAATTTAAAAAGCAAAATATTACAACAGCAAAAATAATTTTATTTTTTTTTTAATATTAAATTAAAAACTCAAAAAACTTTATCAAAAAGTCTAGAGAGAACGAATGATAGCGAATCAATGAATAGATCCTCTAGTCTGCAATCAGTTTAAATACCCTCCGTCGTTAAAGCACAATAAAAATTAACTTGATTTTTGTGCTTGCTTTGTATATACTGAAATTAAACAGAAAGAAAAAGAATAACAACAATATGTTAACAGCAGTAAAAACAGTAGAAGAAAAGAGAAAAAGAAACAAGAAGAAAGAAAAAAATCTCATGCATATCAACTCGGCCTGACCTGTTGTTTAACATTTATTTAAAGCGAGCCACAGTAAAAATTTTTCTTTTCTTGTTTTTTTCTGCTTTTTTCTGTTTTTTTTGTTTTTATTCGGTAAATTCTGTTTTATATTACAGTTTTTTTTTTACATTTATTCGTGTAAATTTTAAATGACCTGTTAACAATACTACAGAATGTAATGTTTTAGTTTTGAGTTAATTTTAACAGAAACAGTAGCTGTTATATAAAATATGTAAATATGTAAATATTATTGATGAGATGATACTTGTTTGATTATTTTTGATTTAATCTACTTGATTAGTATCAAAAAGAAAGAGGAAAGAGTGGTATTGAAAAACATACCTACGTCAGAAATAATGAATATGGTGGGTTTTATAACACACTTTACTTTAACAGGTGATTAATAACAAAATTTGCGTTAGTAAAAAAAATGATGTTTTTTTGGAGAAAAATTAAAAAAGTAAAAAAAAATACAAAATACGTAAAATGAATTTGATATTTTTTCTTCTTTTTTTCTTCTTGTTTTCATTTTTATTTTTTCAATTTTCTTGTTTTTGGGGAATACCATCGTTTTGTTTATTCGGAAGAAGCGTTAAAAATTGTAGGTACATAACATTCTGTTAATTTGATCGTATAATTCGAATATTTTACGTCATAATTACGGTTTAGACGAAAAAAAAAATATTTTTAAATTTTTGTTTCTCAAGAATTTCAAGAGGGAATCTTCCATTTTCTTTATTTTTATTTTTTATTATTATTTGAAAAAATATAACAGTTTAGCGTCAATTAAGAAAAAGTTTTTATACCATACAAACATGTTAATAGTAATAATATTGTGTGTAGTCTATAAACGTGCGCCAATTTGGATTTTTTTTTTTTTTTGAAAATTTTGGGTGTACGTATACATGTGTATGAATGTATATAATTTTAAAATATGAGGTATAGATTCTGCGACTAACAATTTTAAGAGCAAATTGTAGTATATTAATTTAAAAACGAGAAATGATAATATTTTTCTATGAATATTTCATTATTAAAATTTAAATATATGTAAAAAGTTAATTGACATGCGTCGATATTATTAGATTCATGTGTGTAATTTTTGATTCTTCCAAAATTTTGAATATTTAGTTATAGATACAGATAAATTGTTATATTTGTATGGATAAGTATGAATCTATGTTATATTTGGCACAATCATACTTGATTCTATCATTTAATTTGAGTTTGTGAACTATGTATATTTTGGGTATTAAACAGACAGCATGAAAACATTCATTTTTTACTGAAATGTTGTATGCATCTAAATACATACGTATATATAAGGTATAATTTAATAAATATATTACACTACATACATACATACGTGTGCAAACATTTTAAATTTTTACAATAAAATTCAAGTTTACTATGCATGCGTTTCAATTTGACGACGATTAATAAGTAGAAAAATAAAATAAAAAAAATTATTTTGAATAATTTTTTTTTTTTTTTTACTTTTTTGGTTAAAGGCAAATTGGATTGTGTGTCGTATATGACGTTAGATAATTTTTGCGTCAACCTTATATTTTCAATGCAAGAGCGTAAAAAGCAATATTTTATATGCATAAATTTTTTACAATATAAAATCACTAAAATAAAAGTCAAAATCTGGTATCTTCGCGCGGTACAAGGTGAATTTTTTTTTTAATAGAAGAATGCAATTTTTAATCTATGTTGACGCATTTTATTTTTAGTCTAGTTATTAAGTTAGATAATTTGTTTAAAATTAATTATTATTTAATATAAAAAGTTATTTAAAGTTTTTCATAGAAATTACTTTTAGGCGGTCTTACAGTTGGGGACAAGAAAAGCAAATTGTATATACATAATTGTTATTTTTTACTGTAAATATGTATGTATGTATGTGTGCACAAAATACAAAGCTCTAAATTTTTAATTTTCTCTTATAATTTGATATTTATTTATTCACATCAAGGATGAGATTTGCATAATTTGTAAAATATTTATCTATATCAGAGCCGGATTTACCCCTTATGCAAAGTAATCATTTGCAATGAGCACCGAAAAACGCTTTTAAATTTTAAAAAAATAATCTTTTTTTTTTAGTTTTTTCCCGTTACATGTTTTCCAAAAAATTTTTTTGTTTCATTTACAGAAAAATTAACATAACATACATATGTATATACCTATATATACAAACATTGCAAAACAAAAAGCTAGGAGTTTAATTGAATGCTTTAATTCTATGATCTATCTTTACAACATGATAAAATTAAAAAAAAGTGACTAATAATGCAATATGTGCAATTGTTTATTAGAGTGGCAATTTTTGTAAACCATGTAAGGCATCTAGCAAGTCTGAACCGATCCTGACGCATATAAAAACAAAAAACAAGAAAAAAACATCTATTACTCGTACATATGTGCATAATATTATTTTAATTACAGATTAAATTAATTACTTTATTTTAATACACATATTTGTCATTCTAACTATTATACTTATAATATAAACTGAATTGTAATTTCATAATAATATGAAATTTCTAACAGGTAGGCCTATATTAATTATTTATGTATATACGTGATTAATTGTGAATTTTAAAATTGTAAATTCAAATATATTTATATAAGTATTTACGTATAAGTTCTTAAAAATCGATTTCCATAAAACAAAATTTAGAAATTTTTGAAATATTCACCCTATTTTAAAACTCATTGGTTTATGAAATTTTCCAGTTACTTTTTACATATGTATGTATATGTTTTAAATATTTTATTATATGTATACAATTATAGGGTAAAAGAAAATTTTGACAGTTCCAATTTGAAATTTGTATTATGAAAAAATGTGAATAGCGTGAATTAAAAAATCGATGCAATTTTATAATCGATACAAATTCAAAATTTCAAAATAATTTCAAAATCAAATATAAATCAAGCATTCTAACAAAATAAAATTTTTATTTTTTTCAAAGTGTCAATTCATGTTTTAACTCCAAAGTCCAAAATTCCGGAAATATTTTAATTATTACACAATCGTTTTAAATTTACCATCACGTATTTCAAAAATTAAAATTTTATAATTTCTAAAATTAAGTATTCTACATAAATTTAAATTTCTATGCTGCCATAAAATATTTTTTTGAAAGTATATTCATACATATCTATATATGTACATATGTATGTATAAAATAAAATGTTCTCGTTCTAATGGTCAATGAAAGGATTATTCATAAATATTTTGACTTATGCGATTCTAAAATTCAAACATACTTTTCCATTTTAATATTTGATTACAAACAAGAAATACTTGTTTTTATGTTTTTACTACTTTACAGCAATTTCGAAAATGTTATTCTTAAATATAAAATGCGTTCTAATTCAAAATTTAAATATTAGTTTAAATTTTTTTTTTGAGAAAGAGCCGTAAGAACAAAGTAATTTGTTAATTATTTATACCTAATACAGATTTTAGTCAAATAAACCTGAAAATAGCCGAAATCATATATGTTATATTAATTTTAAAAAACACTGAAAATTTAGCAGTAGTTCAAGTTTTTGAAAACATAAAAATTCATTTTTCCAAGCTCACCTAATTAGAAGGAGAGATGATCGAAAAATGGTATGCCGTTGGCCTATTGCACATTTACATTTTCCAGTGCACAGTACGCTACGAGACGTTTAGCGGCTAACTACAGTCTCGTGACAAGCATATATTAGATGTAATAAATAAAGCAATTAATTAGAGATTAACTTTGAAAAAACTTTTTTAAGACATATAAAAAATTGATATGTGCATAGGGAATTCACAATATAAGGAAAACTATTTCTACTGAAAGTAAGTGTTATACAGTGGCATGACAGTACTATTTTTTCATATGATCTGGGGTTATTATGATATTCTGAAAACCAGAAGCAACGAATTATAATTTATGGTTTACCCTTTTGTATTATGGATTCTTATCAATATGAGAACTCTTTAGTGCGCATTCATATACATATTGAGATCTATACTTCCGTGACTATCAGAAAGTATATAAGTATAGCTGCGCAATCCAAAATATAATTGAAATCATAAAATTTTATCTTTAGATTTAAAACTTAAAATTCAAGTTTTATTATCGTATTACATAATATTGAAAATTATTAAGATTATTGGACGAAATTTGAATCATTTAAACATTTAAGTAAGTGTTATATGTTTGTGTATGAATGACGCCGCCGCAATTGTTAAAATTCCATTTTTTATTATATCCTTTTTTACCTCAATTACTTTACTTATTAAATTTTTACTAATAATTTTATTGTTCTAAAATAATTTGAAATAATTTTGTAGAGTAAAATTTTTTATATTTCAACTTTTTTAATATTTTTTAATTGTTCAATTGTATAATATTGTAGAACAATAAAAGAAAACTACACAAAAACTATATAACAAGTTTTCGAGCCAATTCTAATTAAACAAAATGAGTATATAAAAAGAATAATTTGAAATTTTAAATACAATTCCGTAATGCTTTTGTAAACTACTTCAATAATTTCCAAAAATCCCATTTAATCATTATTTAAATTAACATCATTTTAAGGTACTAAATTAAAATATTATTATTTAATTTTTTATAATTAGCTTAAGTAAAGTGTACTAAAAAAAATTGATTCTTTCTTATAATGGGTTTTAATTATATTTTTTTTTTAGTTAATTTCATAAAGTATTGTGTGTAAAAACTTAATTGTTATAATCTACAGTAGAAAATTATG